GGCGAGGCGCCCCCACGGTGCCCCCCGGCGCGCCCGCTCCCCTGCAGAAGCAGAGCGGGGCAGTTCAGACAGCGGTCCAGCCCCTCCGCGCGACCCCCGCCCCCACTCGCCCGGCCTGATAGGAAGGGTCCTGTACGTGCCTTTTAGTCGCTTACTCTGTGGCCCCGGTGCGGAACTGGCGCCCAGGAGATGCGGGTTCGAGTCCCCGCTCGGCCAGGGAGCTCCCCGGGTGACCCTGGGCCAGTCACGGACTCTCAGCCCAGCCTCCCTCACAGGGTTGCTGTGGGGATAAGATGGGGAGCAGGAGGAGAAGGAGGAGGAGAACTTTGGGAGCTGCCTTGAGATCCTTGGAAGAAAAGAAGACAGGATAGAAGTATAATAAGTAATATTCATATACATAAGTATATTTAGAAGTGTTGCCAGCAGCTTATGAAGAAAGTCCTGGGTCTGGAAGGAAGAGCCGTGCACCAGAAGGGGCTGGAACTGGGGGTTCGGTGGCCTGCCCCATTCGCCGCCTGCCCCACGCACCGCTGGAGAGGGGGGCCAGCACCCCGGATGCACTGAGGCCTCCCAGCCGCACCTGCAGAGAGGCGTGGGGTGCTAGCGAGCAAGAGGCCTTCTCAGGGAGGGCCCAGTTGTGGGGGGACCTCCCCACTGCGGCCCGCCTTGCACTGACGGCATCATCCTCTGGGTGCCGCTTGAGGCTGCCTCTGCTCCGGGGCCTGGGGTGGCCTCTGATGGGACACGTGAGCTGCCTTTGCAGGTCTCGCTTCAGTTGAGCTGGTTCCGCTCAAATGCTGCATTTCATTGCATGTGCGTCTTGTAGTTACCCGTTTTGTTTATATTGTGCATTGCTGCAGACCATCTATGCTTAGCCATTTATGCTTCTCCTCTATTTCTTTACTTATTTATTTACTGGAGTTGCACTACTCTGGATTTAACAGGTTCCCAAGCAGCAAACAGCCAGGAAGAACAAATACAGAAACACAGGCACAGAGCAAAAATATTTGCAATCAACATCTATCAATAAAGTCACAGCCGGCCTAGCAGGAATGGCTTGTGCAAAGGAAAACAGCTCCAGCCGGTGCTGACAGCAAAACCAGATCGGTGCCCGCTAAACTTTTTGCTTCTGGCTTATGCCCAAACTCTGCTGGATCCCTCAGACCAGCCGGTCTTGCGATGTTTCTGAATGATGCTCAACCTTCAGCTTCAGGCAGCTTCCTCTGAAGGGCCCGACCCTGAATCTCTGAGCCTGATGTTCCCACGCGGCATCGGGAGAGCAGCTCCTGCGCGGAGCCTAGAGTTTGCTGGTTTCTCGCTCAGTAGCCATTTCCGTCCCCTTGGCAGAGACGCACTGTCGAAGACACAACACCGTGGCAATGCTCTCCACCTGCATCTTTCTTTTTCCGTTGGAAAGTGCATTGTCACATTTTCTGATTTTTTTTGCTGTAAACCGCCAAGAGAGAGGCTTGGCTATAAGCATGGGCAGGTGAAAGAGTGTGGCAGAGAAAACTGCGGGGGGTGGGGGGGGCAGGCACTCTCCCGCGTTGAGCTCAGGTAAGGCACAACAATGAACTTTCCCTGGAAATCGCAGGGATTTTCAAACAGCCGTTTAACCTCTGGCCTCAACTTTGCTGATTTTGCAGCTGGAGACAGTTAATTTAGAAACCGGGCCTGAAACTTGCGGGAGGAACTGCAGAGAGGAAGAGCTGAGCAAAACCGCAGCATGGAGAGGAAGCAGCGCCAGGGGGTGAGGGGCCGATAAGAGTGAAGTGATGCTGGGCAGAGCTCCCCAAAGTGGCTCTCGGGGGGCGGGGGGGAGGCGGCCTGTGCTTTCTCCTTTTCCTATTTACTCTCCCTCCACCATCTGCCTGGATGGCAGGAGACTCAAACTGCTCTCGGGGCTTAGCAGGGGAGACGGGAAGAGTCGCTCTGCTAGCCCTCTGTTG